TGCCCTGGCTCAACCCACAGACCTCTCTCCCTGCTTCCTTCTCTGGCTAGTTGAGGAGCCCTGTCTTGTGGAGGTGCCCCAGCTCCAGAGTCGGATGGCCTGGGTTCAAATCCCACCAGACTAGGGGTGGCAAGAGCCCCAGAAGTCTCTCCAGTGAAGTTGGGGGGGGGGGGTGGAAGCCCCTCCTCACAGAGCTATTTAGAGGTAAATGACTGAGCAGCGAGGTCAGTGCTCCAACAGCTCTTGCTGGCCTGCTATAAACCTGAACTCCAACGGCCCCTCCAGGGCTAACAGATTCAGGAGCCTACAGAATCCCATGTCCTAAAACAAAGCAGGATTCTTCTGGAAACATGAATGGGAAATGCTGGGGAAGAAAGAAGACTGGGGTCCTGGGTTAGGGACAAGGACCTGTGCAGGCTGCCTCCAGGATGGAACAGAGTGGGCTGGGGGCACTATCAAGCCAGCCGGGGGCTTGGGCGACATTAGATGTCTTTCCCAATCAGTTCTGAGAGGCAGGGGGCCACAGCAGAATGGAATGAGGCTGGGGGTACCCGGCAGAGGCGGTGCTCCCATTCCTTGGCAAAGGAGTTTGACGGCACCATGGCCTGGGTCCTGGGCCCTGGGTCCCTTCTCCCTTCTGCCTGGCTCTTCCTTTTCCTTAATCCCTGCCAAGTCGGGCCAGTCAGAGCTGGGCAGCACCCTGGTTCTCGCTGCCTCCGAAGGGGACACAGCAGGTTTGGTCTGTATTGTCTTCTGTCCCCTCACAAAAGAAAGCAAGCCACTTTCCCCTCCCTCCCTGGTAGATTGGAGAAGGAATGCAACCAAATATATTATTTTAATGTATTTCTATTACATCCACATGGAAAGTCTTCTCTCCAAAAGGAAAAGGAGTGGCATTTACTCTTTCCCTGAGATCCTGCAAACCGCGCTGACACCATTTCTAGTTAAATTACTCCAAGGAGCGTTAAGAGTGACTTGGGAGGATAAGGGGAGTCCACAGCAAGAGGGTGGTGGTGGTGCAAAGAGCCTCGCTGCGACTCCTGAAGTCCCAGGTCCCTGGCTGAGGGTCCCCGGCCTCGGTTCCCGCTAAGGTATCCCAGCTCCCAGCGCCCGTCCCCCAGCTCATCACTCTTAACTCAAGGGCGGCTTTTGCTCAAGATCTGAACCTAAGGGGCGCTAAGCTTCGATTTTCTCCCCTGCTGAAAAAAGATGAGTTTAGCCGGTTTTGTGGCACCCACCGAAGCTGCAGCTCCGGAAAGGCAAGAGCAGCCAGCGGAAGCGCCCTCGGGCCCCAGGACGCGCTGCGAAGTGCGCGATTGTGCTCCGCAGTCCCATTGTTGTGACTCCGGGGTTGCCATGGTGACCAGGAAACCCAGTGCCCTTGCGGAAACAATCACCAGGAACTTGTCCACCGGGAACCTCGGTCACTTGCACCCCGCGGCGAGCCTGTGGGCTTCACCCCAGTGTTTCCCGGGTGGGACCTGGGAGAAATGAGGCCTCTCGGGTTCCCGCTTCCAGATCCTTCTATCCGGGATGCTCTCAAAGGCCAGAAACCCGGCACCGGGAAGCCAGAGAGGACCAGCTGGGGCGCTGGAGGCAGGGGCTGATGGGGAAGAAAAATTAGAGGTCTCGACCGATCAATTCCTTCGGTGACGGATCCTTCCACTTTGGGGTTTGGCCGCCCTCGTCACCCGCACCCCCACCCACCTCCCTTCACCTCCTCGAGGTCATTACTAGAGTTTTCACTCGCAGCTCCAGCCAGGGTGGCCGTCTCCACCTCTCTGGCGCGTCAGCGCCCCTCTGCCCCTCTGGCAGCGACGCCAGAACCCTCCTGTTTGGCACATTTCTCTCAGAGAAAGAGCAACAAGGGCCACCAAGATGAGCCGTGCAGATTGGGCGGGCTAGGCCAGGGCCAACGAGGCAGTGTTTGGGGTTCTCTTGCCCGGAGTAGGCTCAAATCCTAAAACCTAATCAGACTTTTCGGGAATGTTCGAAATCAACCGCCTGTGCCTTCGAATCACTGGGTGGAGTTGGGAGATATGAGGCTGAGCTTTCCTAAAGGGGTGATTATTCCATGATTGCTGTCTCCTTTGTTTTCTTTGTCCCCTATAAGTTGTGGACCTCTTCAGGACGACTCAGAGAGAGATCCATACCCCTTCACCCCTTAAATACAGTGTTTTATGAAAACTTGGGATCGAATTCTCTCCAGTGGCGACACTGTGCTCTTTGGGGCCAGGCTGGCTGGAAAGAGGCCCGTAGGTGGCCAGCATTGGAGCATCAAGCTTCGTCTCTGGTTTTGAATCCAGCCCTTTGAGCAAGCTTAACACGTGTGGATTTAATTTCCCTTTCTTTCTTGCTTTCTTTCTTTCCCCCCCTCCTCCCACCCTGTAAGGGAACAAGAAAAATAGTCTGCCGTGTCGACAGCGCGACACTGTTCCGTTTGCCAAAGAAAATTTGTCTTTCCAGAGCCCCAGAGATCAGTGGGCTCCCAAGTTTCCATCCCACCCTTCAGTTGAGGGAGAAGGTATCCAGACAGACCCCCGCCGGCACCCCAGAACACGATGTATTAGCCTCAGTCTCCATCTTACAAACTCAGAGCCTTGGAATTCAGTGTGTTTTCTCCTACACTTTTGGGGTTGCTCATGGTGAAGACAAGGTACCTCCACCCAGAGGACTTTTAGCGGGTTCTGGCTGCAGAGATGGTTGGGAGTTTTCGGGTTCATTGCAGCCTACAGATGTTCTGGATTCTCTCAGCTTAGATCCTAACTCTTCTCCCCTGGTGATCCCCCAAATTGAATGGGGCAAGAACAAGGGGATCCATCACTATCAAGCACCACTTACCGCTGCCTTCTTGGCTCTTGGGGAGCGTGCAAATCCCCAGCATTTGTGTTCTCTCAGCTGGGTCTCTACAATGAATTCCTGCTTCCATTTTTTTATTTTGTTACACCTTAGCAGGGAGGAGAAACCCTCCCAACTTGGGGAGCAGGGAGGAATATTTCTTAAGCACACAAATATGGAGAGCGGCAACAATATTTCTTGGTGGCAATATTGGACGGGGATATTGCATGTTAATAACAGTCAGTGGTACTCTTCCCACCGATTTCAGGTCAAAACAGAGGAAAGTAAAAGCTGAATGAAATATTGGAAAGGAAGAGATTGTGGTCCTGGAAAAAACAGAATAGAGCCAGATTTCAGTAGGGGAGAGGGAAATGACCTTCGGAAGAAAGAGAATTTCCCATCCTCAGCCTGACCCTTTCCTTGCAAAATGAGTTGGTCAAAGTTGAGTTTTGTTTCTATTGTTATAATTTTCCCAGTCCCGTAAGCACTTCTTTCTACTTTAGAGACCCCTGTGAAGCCGAGACAGGGACACCATGGGGACAGAAAGGGAAGGGACTGTATGGTTAAGTGTATTTTCTTTGGGGAAGAAAAACAATGTGGTAGTTTTGAATGCAACTTTCTTAAAAATGGAGGGAAAAAATGGAAAAGATCTATAGCAATCGCTCCCTGTGTTTTTTTTTTTTTTCTTTAATTTAAAAATAGAATCATAGGCTTTCCTATCCATGCAGTATTAAAGTCAGGGCAGGACTTTTGCAAAAAGGAGGGCAGACAGCACACTTGTGAAAGGAAGATGGGGCAGGTCTGGGGAGGGCGGTGTGTTGCGGCGGGATGGAGAGAGAGTGCACTGCTCAAGTGGCCAGGGAAAGAACGGAGGCGAAAAATCTCCCTGAAGTCTTTCCTTGGCTCTCCCTGCGGTGGGGGCTCCGGGGCTGTGATGCTGGCATTGTAGAGAGAGAGACCTTTTCGTACTGATCCAGGTGTTTGTGTCCGAAATAAAAGGGAAGCTCGCTCCCCGCCGGAGGTGGCCTTCCCCTTCCCGGCCCTGCGGGGCCTAGGCCTCGGCTTCTGGCCCATCTCTGCCCAGACGTCGACTGGGAGCTCATCAGAATGGGGCTTGGGCTGAGGCTTTCGGGTCCCATTCTTGGGATCCAGGAGAAAACGTTACACACACCAGGCCTCGGACTGGGGGAAAGTTACTAATTTGGGAAACGAAAGCGAAGCTCCGCGAAGCCACTGCAGCCTGGCCGCGAGGAGGGACGCGGATCGGGCTCGCTGGAAGCAGCCAAGGTCTGCGGCCCGGTCGGCCCGGGCGCCCGCAGAAGCCACTGCCCACTCTCCCCGAGGGCCTGACCTTGGCCCGGGCCGCTGCTCTGCCAACTGCGTCCTCCACATTTCGCAGCCGCTGCAATCCCGGGTAGACCCGGCCTGCAGCCAGCTCATGCTTCCGAAAACCCTAGGGGTTGGGGGCGCGCAAAACCCAGGATCGAACCCCGAAGCTAAGGACGAGCCGAAATTCAGACGTCCGGCTCCCTCGGGGCCCCTGGGCGGGAACTTACCCTTGCGGAAGGCCTGGCGATCGCTGGCTCCGCCGGGCAGGCCTAAGCTCCTCGCTCGGCGCCGCCAGGGGCGTCTACGCGGTGCCTTTCGCAACCCAACGCAGAGGGTTTCCAAATGCGTGCAAAAGCTTGCGGACATCCACGCGTCTTAGCCATTAGGCCCATTGCTCACATTAGAAATAATTGTTATTACACAACAAAATAGGGTGTCTCGTCCCTCCGCGGGACCTGGCGCGATTATTTTTTCTCTGCAGAAATCACCCCTGTCCACCCCCCCCCCCCCCCACCACCCACTCGCACCCCGCCCCCGCCGGGCCACGCCGGGACAAATTGCATCCCCAGACCTGGTTAAAGGAGCTTTCGCAGAAGGGCCTTTCCCCGCTGCAAGACACATTGCGGGCGAACCCCTTTCTGCCTGGGAACTTCTCTGTCTGGTTCCCCCTTGGTGAGAGCCCAGTCCTGACTGCCAGGCAGGTCGGCAATCGGGCGCTCAGGTCTCGCGTACCAAACACGACCGGCTAGAGGGGCGCCTGGACATTCATTTGACAACTGCTCCTCCTCTGGAAAAAAAAAATAACAAGTACGTTTTAAATACTAAGAATCCCTTGTCTCCTGCAAGGGTCCTCAGTTCTCCCCGAAACAACTCGATTTCTGTCCAGTGGGGGCCGAGGTGGACTCCCAGCCCACTTTGTTATCCCCTCCTCTCCCCCTCGCTGAGAAAATCGATCTTGGCTCTATTCGTGTCTTATGGTCACCACCCCCATTGCCCCGGAGAGCACGGGATTTGTTTATTTCTTTATTTATTCCCCGGGGCCGAGGCGTCCGGGACTGGTGGCCGCAAAGATCCAGGACTGAGAGACGAAGATGGAGAGAAATTAACCTCCGGCCTCTGCCCCCCAGTCAAGCGTGACAGTGCGCGGGCCGGTTGCGTGACTCATGACGTCTCTGAGTCCTATAGGTGCAGCGGCTGGTGAGATAGTCCGTATCGCCTGGTTGCCTCTTTATTTTATTGGGGTATGCCTGGTAATAAACAGTAATATTTAATTTGTCGGAGACCACAAACCAACTACGAGCTGGGAGGTGCCGTGTTCCTCTTGACAGACCCTAGAAGAAGGCCTGACCTTAAAAGATTTCTTTTTCGGGGTGCTTTCAAAGTTCTTCACCTGAGCCCCTGCCTCAGGGAGGCGTCCCTGCTGCCTTCTGGAAAGAAGAGGTGGGATTTTTGGAGGTGAGTGTGGACCTGGCGACTTGGGATGGGGGGATAGATTTCTCTCCTAATTTCCTCTGCTGGCGGATCTCTGCTTCCCACCCCAATTCTGCCTTGTTGGGTGCCCCCACCCAGCTCTGCTGCTGTTCCCGAGCAAGACAGGAAGGCACCCTCTTGCATTTTGCCTACGGTGTGTCACCTGGCAAGAATGGACCCCCCCCCCCCAACCGCCAGGTTTAAAAATCCGATTTTGCCCAGTGGCAGGCAGCAAGCATATAGCTAAGCTCCAGGAATGAAGTGAATCTGGCTGGGCTATTACTTGGGGGAGTCCAGATTTTTTCCCTCTTGGGAAGGGCCTACAGATTATTTATGGGAATTAATTTCATCCGCAAATCTCTACGAATTTAAAGGGATTGGAGAGATCTTTCTGGATTTCCCCTTCCTTCCAGCAGAGACGTGGAAATTCAGGCTCATTCTGATAGCATCGCTGGTGTCCACCCTTGGCCCGAGGTTGCCTCCTTAGCCTCTGAGCTGACATTCTGGGAGAGCGGAGGTGTTTGCACAAATAAACAAATTGCCTTAGCCAAGGTCTATTTGAAAACAAACCCGGAAGGTGGAGAGTTGCTTTACTCCCAAGCTGCCCCACATCTAGGGTTGGACAGTCCACTTTGGAATTTTGCAGTGGTGACCTGACCTGGGAAATTGGCAGAGCAGTCACAGAGGGCCACACCACTGGTCTCTGGGTCATTTCTGCTCCCTACATCCTTCCCTCCAGATCTCGATTTTCTGGACCTGAGTCCCTAATTAGAGTCCCAAACAAGAACAGGGGCACACTATGGGAAAACAGAGGAACTCCTGACATTTCTTCCAAGCACCCAGACTTGGAGCCCCAGTCTAGGTCGGCTCACACGGAGACCTCTTGTGTTTATGCTTCTATTGGCCTCTTCAACTGAACCTCAAAATACTGCATTTCAGAGAGGGACAGGGAGAGGAGCGCATGAAGATGCAGACCCAGACAGTTTCCAATGATGGCTTGATTATGTTAATAAAACCGGGCACTGCCTTGTGTACATGTCCAGCCAGGACAGCCTGCTGACCCTGGCAGAAGGGCAGGGGGGATGGAGGCTGGGGACTGATGGCGATTTCTTGGCATCTGTGATCTTGGCCCCCATCCCAGTGCACCTTCACTCTGCCTCACCCACAGTCATTTAGAGTGGGGGTGAGAAGTTGGGGGTGGAGGAGAGATGTCAGGGCAGCCACCCTGGCTCTGTCCAGCTAGGTGGGGGTCACACAGTTTTCCCTCTGAGGCCAACTCTGGAGACAGGATTCGGGCTTCAGAGGCCCGTTCCATGGTTGTGTGTGTGTGTGTGTGTGTGTGCATGCGCGTACACTCCTGGTGTGTTCAGACTCAGTCCTGTGCAAGGCCAGTCGCTGAAATTACTGTACTTCCCCGATAGAAG